ACTTCCCTGTTCCTTCCGTCTGTTCACTTCAGCCTGTCACACGTACATCTGCCATAGCGATCTTCTTAAAGGACATTGAGTCACTCCTTAGTTTAAAAACAAATAAACCAAAACCAAAAGCAATGGTTCTTTATTCCCCAGTGAGTAGCATCTATAAACTCCTGAACTTGATCCTTACATCTCATTCAGACACATCTACAGCTGCACGCTTACCAGCCATCTCTCCATCCCAGGCACCTTACTTATCATCCAAATTGAAGTATTATCTGCTGTTTCCCCAATATGCCTGCATCCATTCTCTAACTTTTGTGGCATATCTAACTCAGATGCAACCGCCTCCCATCTTTCCACGTGGAATGAGTCCCTCTTCTAGGCACCGTGCTTCCCTTCCACAGAGGTCAACACTCATTGTCCTGTGTTGTGACACTTCCGTGCATATCCTGTCTCTCATTCTAGGCTGTAATTTCCATGAAGATGTGGCTTCCAGAGCATTTATCCTTGTGTTTTACGATTGCTTATTAAATTGAGTTCTTTCGACAGAAAATTGTTGAAGAAACATCAGGTCATGCCCCCCAGAGCTCCAAATGGGACCCTTCATGGAAAGGACAGAATGGGAGCCTGGCCTTTTTCTGGGCTGCGGAGAGTCTCTGATCCAGCTGCATTCCAAATGATCTTGGTCGCCACCCTATTGGCTACTGTTGTTGGTGAGTAGAAGGGAGATAAGCTCAGACTGGCAACTAACATTTAAGATCGTGCACTCATCCACTTTAAGATCGACAGAGATGATTAAGCGTCTTACTAGAAATACAACTTCAGCAACAAAGGTTTATTTGACCAGAAATCTGGACTTTATTTGGGATTTGGAATTTAGGAGACATCTTCTTCACTCATTAAAGAGGCTGTTTTCTAGACACATCCCCCTAGAATTTATTCTCCAGAAATTTCCAAAACAATCTCCAATCATGACTTGAAGCAAATCTATACTATCCATCGGTCTGGCTGAACAAATTTCATTGCCTGTGAGTTTATCCAGAGTAGAGTGGGGAATTGAATACTTCTCCTGGGATCTTCTGAAAGAAAGGTAAACCAGTCTTGCATTTAATTCTTGCAAGGAGAGAGGGATTAAGATTTTTATGCTTCAAGAGTTACATGCTTGTTCCTTTATAACATTCCAAATTCCAAAGGTGTGAAAAAGTACAAATTGAAAAATGTTATTTGTATACATCTTCCAGGCACCCAGTTTCTCTTCCCTGAGGCAATCAGTATTATATAATGCAGTAATTTTTTTTTATTTTGGTATCATTAGTATACAATTACATGAGCAACATTGTGGTTAATAGATTCTTCCCATTATCAAGTCTCCACCACATACCCCATGACGGTCACTGTCCATCAGTGTAGTAAGATGCTATAGGGTCACTACTTGTCTTCTCTGTGCTGTACTGCCTTCTCCCCGCCCGCCCCCCCATACATTATGTACACTAATCGTAATGCCCCTTATTCCCCTTCTCCCTCCCTTCCCATCCCCCACCCAGTCCCTTTCCCTTAGGCAACTGCTAGTCCATTTTTGGGTTCTGTGAGTCTGCTGCTGTTTTATCCCTTCAGTTTGTGCTTTGTTCTTATGCTCCCCAGATGAGTGAAATCATATATAATGCTATTATTAATGAAATAATATGTTTCTGTAGGGAAAATTGGGGGACTTCTGGCTTTGCACAGATGCATCAGAGTCAGTAGATATGGGGCCTCTGCTAGGCTGATGAAATCGTTTTTGTTATCCTTTTAGGATAAATTATCTCATATATAGTAGAGAAAGGATGAAAAATGTCTCCTTTTATCATTGTCATTGTCATTATAATTTATCAACAACATGTTACTGATCACTCACTGGGTTTGCTGGACAATGAGGATTACAGAAGTGACTATTTTTCTTGATTAGATGAGAAAAGAATGGTGTTTGTCCTAAAAATCATACCACTGAAGTATCCCGATGCGGTGTCCCAAGCTGTGACTCCGGGTGCTCTTTCTCATTTTGGTGCTCAGGTGACTGTGGTCCGCCACCGAATCTACATTTTGCTTCGCCCGTAATTAAGTTGAATGAGACAAACTTCAAAACTGGAACTGTTCTGAAATACAACTGCCGCCCTGGCTACAGTAGGACCAGTTCAAGAAATCACATTACCTGTCAAGTAGGAGGCTCATGGGGCCACAGCACTTTCTGTGTTAGTAAGTATGAACGCTTATTTTTCTTACTTGTGCTTTTTCCTTCTTTGCAGAGTTGTCTCAGGAACTAAGCTTTCGAATGCAAATGAGACTCTTTGGTCCCTAAGAGACCATCCAGTCTGTCAGTTACTGATCTTAATGTACACAAGTGTGCCACTTTTTGAAAAACATAAACAAATAAATAAAACAAAAATTATGAAAAATAAGTTTATCCTTTACAGAGTAACTCTAGTAAACACTTCTTTTGGAAAGAAACTACAATTCACTGTTAATATATTGAACAACAGATTCACTCCTTAGAGAATTACAAAAACTAAGGTGGATAGAAGGTAGTAATGCAGTTTTCAAAGAACCCTCATCCAAAATATAGGCTGTGTTTGGAAGATGTGATTCACCCTCAGTTGAGAATACATTCTACAATGGTTTTCCCATAGTAGGGGTATATAATCCATACTCCTTTGTTGTTTCTTTTGTGATGAAGGACATGCATTTTTTAAAAATCTTTTTAACAGATTTTATTTTTAGAGAAGTTCTAGGTTTGCAGCAAAGCTGAGCAGAAAGCACAGCACCCATATACGGCAACACACCCACAACCTCCCCACTATCAACATGCTGCCCCAGAGGGTACATTTGTTGATCCATTAGTGCATGCTGGCATGTCGTTCTCACCCAGAGTCCCTGGTTTACATTAGGGCTCACTCTTGGTGTCACACATCCTGTGGGTTTAGATAAGGGTATAAGCACATGAATCCACCCCTACGGTATTATGCAGAATTGTTCCACAGCCCTAAAAATCCCCTGTCCTCTGCCTACTCATCACGTCTCATGTCATTGTTCAATGCTTTTTGCTGTTGGATATTTGGGGGCTGAATCTTACTGATCTCAGTAGTGATGGGAGAAAGAAGGCCCAGATGTATTCAGGTTCTAGGTGTGGGCTGTTTAGCTGTGAGTGACACTGGGGTACATTGTGGGACCTTAGCCCAGCTGTACTTAGATAACAGGAGAGCTTCCCCTGGACTGTCCAGATCAGGGGGGCCTCAGAGCTGGGCCTGTGCAGGTCTGAATACTAGCAGTGTGGAGGGGGAAAGTGGGTGCCAGAGAGGAGCAGGTGGGCCTGGCGCAGAGCCTCTGAAGGCCCCCCTTGTACATAGAGCTGGAAGGACATGCATTTTTGAGTGGCCTAAATTCCAAGTACATCCACAGGCACAGAATGGAACATAACTAGATGCCTGCTCAGTGTGTTCCATCTTGAACCATAGACTCCATCACCACAGGGATTTAACTGAGCAGTTTTCTCTGTTGGTAAAATGTGGACCAGAAAGAAGTGCAATCAAATTTTATATACATTGTTCCTCCAAAATAGAAATTCAGTGAGTCAAGATCGGAAGTAAGTTTGAACCACCGGGTCTTTCTGGAAGTAGAAGTGAAAGCTCACTCCGTCCTCTTTCGTAATACTGTCCGTGAGTACTTGGAATCACATTGATCATCATTTTGATTTTCTCTCAGAGAAACGATGCAGAAACCCTGGAGAATTACAGAATGGGCAAGTGATAGTGAAGACAGATTATTCTTTTGGATCACAAATAGAATTCAGCTGTTCAGAAGGGTGAGTGTGAACCAATCTAGAAACAATACTTTTCTTTTGAATTAATTAAAAACCATAGCTACTGTGCACACATATTTCACAAGTAAGACTGATGTAAAAAGGTGTGCATTGAGAGTCTTCTTGAGTTCATCCACTCTTCTCTCAAGTCTGATGAGTATGTTTACAATCATTACTTTAAACTCTTCAACAGGTCGATTGCTTAACTCTATTTTATTTAGTTCTTTTTTCTGAAGTTTTCTCATGTCCTTTCATTTAGGGCATATCCATCTCTGTTTTAGATCTGCTTGTTCTGTGTTCACCACTCATTTTGTTTTTGTTTTTATTTTTGCTCAAGTTTCCCCTGTCATCACTCAGTTGGCTGTAGTTTGTCTTCTGGTGATTTCTTAAAAAAATGTTCCAAGTGAAAATTATTCCTTGAGCTCTTGCAGGTTCAAATAATATATGAGACTTTAATACTTAAAAGATAACATGGTTGGTTGGAATATTATTCAGCCATAAAAAGAAAAGAAATTCTGCCATTTGCAACAACATGGATGGATCTAGAGGGCATTAGGCTCAGTGAAATAAGACAGGCAGAGAATGACAAATACCATATGATTTCAATTATTTGAGGAATATGAAAATAAAGCAAAACAGCAGGAACAAAGCAGCATTAGATTCATAGACACTGAGAAGTAGCTTGTGGATACCAAGGGAGACGGGAGTTGGGGAGGAGGACTATTGAACCACTGTGACCTACATTTGGTAATGAAAAAAAAAGAAGATAACATGGCTGGGTATAAAATCCTTGGCTCCTACTTTCTTTTCTTGATATCTTATAGATAGTACTGGATATCTTTTTCTAGTGGATGTTGCTGTAGAGAACTCTGATGTCAACCTGGATTTCTGACTCTTATACGTGACTTGGTCTTTGTTTGACTGTCCAAAGATATTATTCTATATCTTTGAAATCTAATAATCCTACTCTTAGTTGTTCTGATACAGACCATTTAGTTCAATATTTTGCTGTTATGTTATGTGCAATTTTAAGCTGCACATTAACATATTATTTGTGTGATATTTCCTTGAAATACATTCCAAAATAGCTGTTTTATTCTGTTTGTGTTCCTTCTTCAGTTTCTCTATATGTTGATTCTCTGCTTGTCATCTATGTCTAACATTGTTCTCTAATCCTTTTTGTTGTCATTTAATTTTGTTTTATTTTCTCACATTTATCCTGTTCCCCTCATTGTGTATGGCTTCCAAGAGAGAAAGTGGTAAGATCCAAAACTAAGGTGCTATTTGAACACTTAAGTGTTCTTATTGGATTAACCAGAAGCATTGCTTTTCACTTGATTTCCTGGCTAGGTAGGAAAAATTATGTTTTCAAGAAACTTCAAAATAAAGAAATGGTTAATTCTCAATGTATTTAGCCTTGTTAAAAGACTCATTTTTCTTTGAGTCATTATTAAATAAATTCCAGGGGGCCTCAGATTGCTGATGGTCGCATTTATATTAATGTTCAGTCACATTGTAGGTTTTTTACATGATGGTAATACAAGTTGAAATCATACTAACAATGCTTTCTTTTCCTGTTACCGTAATACATAGATAGCAGTAAACTGGAGAAAGCTTAGGATGTGTCAAGAGCCGTAAAAATGGGAGTCATCAACAGGGAGTTAATGGTATGTGGGAGGAGAGGTCAGAAGGAGGCTACAAACCAGGGGACATGAGAGTTTGGGGCCGGGAGCACAGTTGGTCCTCTCATCCAGAGAAAATTGCAGAACACACGCAATGAGTCTTTTCCCTACATGGTCCAGCTGGAGCTCTGAATGAGCTCCATGCCTGACATATAGTCAGTGCTTACTGATAAATCACAGGATAAAAGAACAAATGAACACACATGAAACATCTCATGCAGTGACAAAATTTTACTGAATGGAATGCTCAATGGGAAGTGTTATCTGAGAATACATTATTTCTTTATTTTTAGTATTGAGCAACAAGTCTGTTTGCTCAGATCTTTTTATCCAGTTTAACTTAGGGTAGGAAAATTTCCATTAAAATCTTTGATCCTATTTTGTTCAGATATATCTTAATTGGCCCAACCACCAGTCACTGTGAGATCCAAGATAAAGGAGTTGACTGGAGTGATGATTTCCCACAATGTGTGAGTAAGTAGAGCTCTTCTGACTTGACTGTAAACCTAGACCATGTCAGGTAATAAAACTCCTGTGTCTTTTTGGTGTTTCTTGGACTCTCCGTGAGAATTTGCATCATGAATGTTAGACTTGTAAGGATGCCTTACTTGATTATTTTTTCCTCTTCACTCACCATCCCAGTTGTCAAGTGCGAGCCTCCTCCAGCCATCCACAATGGGAGGCACAGCAGTGGAGATGAAGACTTCTACCCATATGGCTCTTCTGTCACCTACAGCTGTGACCCCGACTTCTCCCTGTTAGGCCAAGCCTCCATTTCTTGCACAGTGGAGAATAAGACCATAGGTGTGTGGAGCCAAAGCCCTCCTACCTGTAAAAGTAAGTCAGATTGAATTGTTGGGTTCTTCTTTGAATTTTTCTTTTTTGATTAAAGGAATAAGAAAGATGTATTTATTGGGGGAAATGGAAGATTCAAAAGCAAATGGCTGCAATAATGCAGCCATTTATTTGGTCAGTTGATTCTAATATGTGACATACCAGTATACAGTATCAAGCAGGACTAAAATCTCACTGACTTTGTGATGTAAAAGTTGGTTTTCATTCAGACTGAGTCTGTTGCATGTTCAGGAGTCTCTCTTTGGCAGCTCTTATATATTATTCTATCATCCTGCTCCCAAATCCAGGTTGCTTTGATTTTGTGGTACTTCCATATCAAAATGTGCTTTCTAAATCTTGTCAGTAGAGAAAGAGAGAGAGAAAAGAAAATTGTTCCCTGGCTTTTAAAAACTTTTACCTGAAAATGACCACATATCACTTTACATTGCAGCCTTTTGTCCAAATCTCATGTAATGAGTAGACTGTATGTATACTATGAGAACTAGAAAATATCATCTTTTGTCTGTTCAGGAAGAGAAACTGGAAATACTGGTTAGTACTTGTAATGTCAACCACAAATGCCTACTGAGCAGCAAAACCTTCTAAACACAGAAGGTCACCAGGACCAAGCAAACAGTAACTGAGCCAGAAGATCCCTTATACTGTTGAGAGTTTGCTAATCTAAGGCATCTTCCTTTGCTACTGTCTACACAGTTTCGCTTATTATCCTGACTCACCACAGGACATAGTCCAATCAGGGTATAGTGCAAACAGTTAAAAATATCTGGGGTCTAGACTGCCAGAGGTGGAAATGGCAGAGAGTGAGGCCAGGGTTTGAAGGGCCTGGTCTACTACTCGCAAGGAATTCAAAGCTAAGGTGAAGAGGAGACATTGAAAGGCTTTAACCAGGGGAGTAAATGTCTTGCATTTCAGGAAGATAACTCAGGCTACAGAGTGGACAACAATTTGAAGTGGGACAAAAGTTACCCCATGGGCACCTGTTGCAGCCACCCAACCAAGACGTGGAGGTGACTTCACTTTCCAGGGCAGTGGGCCTGGAAAGAAGCTGAGGGATCATAGAGGACTTCCGGTGGCAGGACTGGCAGGACTCCCTGACGGACAGCTGTGGGGCAGGGCAGTTTGTTCTTTGCTTGTGAGAGTGCCGATCTCTGATGCCCGGCTGCCCCTTCTCTATGACCACCGTATCATTACCCTTGACCACGGACCTACTCCAGAATCATCCAGGGAGGGGGAGGGTTTTTTATGAGGGGAATATTTGAGGACTTCAAAATCGGTGTTCGTTCTGGGTTTTACAGAGATAATTTTTCTTGAGGAAATGAGGAAGTTGGCATTATTCACAATCATCTCATAATGGAACCAACATGATGGGTTCTCATTTTACCAAGGCTTTTAAAAGGTGAAATGTGTTTTCCTTGTATCTACTTGACATAAGTAGTAATAGCCTTATCACCATTTCTCTTTTACAACCCACTTGTCTTTTCCTGTGATTCTTTAGAAATCAGCTGTGTTCAGCCAGAGCATAAAAATGGAAAGATAGTCTCTGGATTTGGACCCATCTATACTTACAAGGACTCTATTGTATTTGACTGCAATAGAGGTTATATCCTCAAAGGCAGCAGTTTAATCCACTGTGAAGCTGATAACAACTGGGATCCTGTTCCTCCCACTTGCGAGATCAGTGAGTATGGACCGTGAAGAAATTTCATTGGTTAGCATCTAAGTATATTCAGAAATGTTGGTGGAGGCATACTCCTATGCCTAAGCCCATCTGAATCACAGAGAACATTTTAATTTAGATCAATAATTGTTTTTATTGTTTTCTTATTGGTAAAAAGGATGATTACAGTACACTGTGTAAAGTCATGTAACATCATGCAAGGCTGCCACGTACAGTTGTGTGGGTTGGGCACCCTCCACCACTAAAGGACACATTCACCTTGTAGGCATTAGCATATTTATTTCAACAAATCGATAGAAATTTCAGTTGATAGAAAATTGTTTTGTATGAACAAAATTATGATAATTGGAAAGATGAATAGTAAAGTGTCCTGAAGAAAGAAATGCTAACTTGCAAGTTTTAATAACTTGCACAAAAATGTGATGTGGACTAACTATGATTCTGGCACTCTGAAGTTATCAACTCGTATGGATCATTAGAAATGGTGTGGTGTTAATAGTAATAACGATAACTTAGTGCTAAGGTAGGTATATAACAATATTAACTCATGTGGGAATAGGGAGTTACTACTAATGAGTACAAAGTTTCTTTCGGGTTGATAAAAATATCCTAAAGTTGGGTTGTGGTGATGGTTGCACAACTCTGTGAGTATACCAAAACCTTAGGGTTGTATATTTTAAATGGGTGAATTTTAGGTGACTTCTGTCTCAATAAAACTGCTAAAAAAAGAACCTTACCCTCTATGCCATTCTAAATGTTTGAAGATAAAAATGTAATAAACATCCAGCTCAGCCGATGTTCGTATCGTATTTTCCTATCGTATGCTTCAGTAGCACAGGAAAGGATGAAAAGGACCAGATGTGAGGTCTAGAGTCAAAAGATGCTTGGACTCGGCTGGTTCTTGCCGAGCCCTAAGTGATAAGGCTGCTGGCGTCACCTGGATAAGGGAAACCATCCATCCTTAGTTAGGACACAAGGTTAGATTTGTTTGTCTGCAGTAGTTCTCCAGTCATATCTACCTAGCAAGTCCAGTGCTTCAATTCAGAAACCAGACTTTCTGGAGCGGATTGAAGAACAATGAAGAGGTTTAACATTTTGGGTAGTTGGCACAACACACAGAAACTACTTGGTAGTGCCTTTTGTAGGAATCTCTCTGGCGTCGTGCACGTTTAGGCACATGTCCATGTGTGTTTGCTGGTGTGTTTGCCGGTTCCTGGGTGAATGAGCACATGACACCCGTTGATAGGATACGCTCGATGTTCACTGTCACATCCCTTGTAAGTGTCCTCTTCCCTTGTTCTTCCTTTATGAACAGATAGTTGTACTGACTTACCATACATCCCACATGCTTCCTGGGACGTATATGGTTACAACCAGCCAACAAAAAAGGAAGTATATGAAATTGGGACTGTGCTTAGATACCGCTGCCATCTTGGCTATAAACCTGCTGTAGACAAGCCTACGACTGTGTCTTGTCAGGGGAATTTGGAATGGTCTCCATACGTAGCATGCGAGGGTGAGTTTCTGTTTTATAAACCTTTTGTATATTAAATGTCCACCATGTGCTAGGATTTTCTACCTTAAATGAATATAATTTATCCCTCAAGATGAATTTAGAATGTTATAAACTGAACAGAACTATTATTGTCAGAAGGGGCTGTGAAGATCTGGGAGTTTAAGGAGCTGGGAAATTGTCATCTTACCCTGTCCTAGTTCACAATCAAATGAGACATAGATAGACAAGTTAAGCATTATGTGATAGTATTAGCTTCATTACTGGTAAGGGTAGAATGGAGACTATAGCTCAGCATTGCCAGGGTCAGAACCTCAACACAAGCCCTTTTCTCCCCAGTGTAGCCTTTAGTGTGTTTGGTAGATGGGAAGTCTGAAACCCATATGAACTCAACCAGCTGCAAGGTGCCTCGTGCCTCGTGTGTCTTGATTCATGGGTCTGCACACTGAAAGAACTGGGTCTTGTGACCTGCTTCTAGAAGCCAGATCCTGACCCCTGACCCAGAATTCTTGCCTCAGTAGGACAGAAAGGAGACTTTCCCTGGTCTCACTAGTAGAAGATGGCTCTTCTCTCTTTGGCGAGCATGAGTGAGGGGCTGAGAGACAGAGGGGATGTCAGTTTATGGGCTTCAGTGGAATTGACCACAGAGGGAGAAAAGGCTTCCTTCTACACATCTGTCAGAATCTTGACATTTTAGAGGTGAAGACACTGTGGTCCAGAATATAGGGAAATTCATTCTCCAGATCAGAATTTGAAAAATGTGTGAAATGCACACATAATGAAAAATGGTGGTTTAGATCAGCCTGTTGAAAGGTAACATGTCACATTAGAACTTAAAAGTTTAACTGCAGTTATTCAGACTCATTTTGGGGACATGAAAGGTTTTAACAAAATTACTGACTTAAAATATAATATTTAGCAAAAACAACTGCCATCACTAAAATAACAGAATAGTAGTAGGTGCAAGCCTTTGAAGATCCTCTTTAATGAATAAAATACAATGACATGTAATTAATAGACTAATTTTTTCTATGCAGATCTATGTTTATTTATATATGTTTAAAAATCTATTTTAATTATGTTTATTTTACTCATTACTTTTATTTAATTGTTTAATAAAGGATTCTTTAAAACCATTAAAAAAGCAGAAGTGAAGTGGTATTTACCCCAGTTATCTTAAAATCTGATTAATTATGAATCTGGACTCAAGACTTAAATGTTTAAGTGTTTTCTACAATGTAAAGCATTACATAAATACTGTTAAAATTTAGGAACTATATGAATGTTGGATATTTTTATTATAATTTGTAAACAAATGAATGCTGACAGCGTTTGAATATGCCCCAAAGAACCCATTATAGTGCTGGACAAGCACCTGATATAGAAATAGAGCATTTTATTCAGTTCTGAGGCTTTATCTTACATAAAACATTATCAAATTCTATCTGAAAGTATTTCTACTAGTGAATAAAAAAACCTATATCTCTATTTCAGCTCTTATTGCATTAAACATGAAAAAACTTGAATAACTGTCTCTCTTAAATGTGGTATCAACTACAAGAAAATCCTGGCCATAAGCGATAATTTAAACTTATTTCTATGCATTAGCTGTCAGGTGGATACACATTTTTTAGAATATGATGTGACTGAGGAGATCCGAGTTAATAGAGAGCTTAACGCTAATATAACCCTAATTGAAACCATAAGGAAATGGATGTCATTTGTCATTGTTTTTGAATAATTTTGAAAATTTACATTTTCTTGCAGGTTTAATCCAACCTCTCTTTTCCAAGGCTCCTAATGAAAATACTGAGGTGGGGGGAAATGCCCGGGTTGGAGTCCTTTAGCCCATCAGGGACGGGAGGGCAGATGCAGCGTCTTGGAGACCCTTTCCTGCTTCTGCCCTCTCTCTGCAGCGATGCCATCTCTAGAGGTGGAAATGAGATGATTCGCCACAGGGGCCTCCTCATGGTGATTTTACTAACCATTAGCCTCATTTTTTTATTTTTTTAGAGACATGTTGCCCAGTACCACACCTGAAGAATGGCAAAATCACTTTATCTAGGAAGAGTGGCTCCAATCATAGCTGTGACTATTTCTACAGAGATGTGGTTTCATACACATGTTATGAGAAATACGAGTTTGAAGCTAACTGCCGGGAGGATGGCACGTGGAATCCCAAAACACCAACATGTGATGAGAGTAAGAGCTTTGTAATTGTGTTATTTTATAAGTTTCTTCATATCAAAGGGATGGGTTATTAACGGAGGTTTCGAATTAGGTAAAAAAAATTGTATACCCTGCATGAGTTTGCAGTGGATAAATTCGTTGATAGGCGTGGCCCCCCTGGTCTAGCTGTCTTTTTTCCCACATTGCTTGTTCCCATTCTCTCGACCTGACTGTCTCTTTTTCTTTTCTGAATCAGTGAAAATAGCTCACACCTAATAAATAGATCAGCGAGACTTTTCAATTATTGCCTTCCGTTTCTTGGTGTTTATTCTCTTTTTTTTCTCTCCCTTTTGGTCCATGCCTTCACCTGCAGTGTAAGACCCTCCAAAATGCCCTGGAACCTGTCTTTCTGAACTTGCTTCCTTTCTACTGCTGCCCCTAAGCCCTCCTTCAGACTGTCCCCCAGGGCGAGATGCCTACCTCACCCTCACCAAGAGCACCTGTGTGCTAAGCACAGTCCTCGCTTCGCCCATTGTGTTTCCAGAGCTCTACCTATTAACGATCAGAAGCAATCACTCCCACTAGGAATAGTGATTTCTCTTCTTGCTCTGTGGGTAAGAAGCCCGCAGGAGCCCCGAGTGGCCAGGCACTAGATGCAGCTTAGAAATCAGTGGGTATCTTCTTAAACTTCTCTGGTAGAAGTGTCCCCTCTTCACCAACCAGGATCTTTCAATCTACAGATCCCAGAGGCTCAGGGATGTGAAACACAATTTCTCCACGTGGGTCACTTAGCGTGTTGGTAAATCATCTTATCATCTTACTCATGCGTTCGTCTCTTGGTTCCTGGCCCCATGCATTTTATTTTATTTTACTGGGGACTCACTACCATATAAAGGTGGACCTTCGATTTAAAGTGAATACTGCATCCTAGAAGGTATTTTGAAGAACTATTGTGGAGTCCCATCGTTGTTAAGTATTGCCTTTCAACTGGCACTTCAGCTGCACCTTTAACAGGCCATGCCAATGTTCTCACGGGTCTGTGGGTGCTGGCTGATGCAGTCTGTGATATGAGCAGTGCATTCCGTGGCCGTGCTCCCAGCACCACACCTTTTTTGCTGTGAATGAGTCTTGTAGGTGCATGTTGCAGGATCTTATGTCAATTGGTTAGGCTCTCAGATCCTTCAGATAACAGTGTTGACTGAGTCCCAAAGACAGGAAGGGTACGCCCGTGTCTGGAAGAGTTGTCTATTTCTGTCAGAGTAAATAGCTGTCCCTTCTAGGTGGAAGGATGTCCAATATGGTCAACCTGCTACCAGGTGGCTTTTTAGTTGTCTCAAGGGATGTGCTCAGACTAGGGCCTTAGCATTATTGAGGTTGGAGGTTCAGAGACAGCCTGGTAGGTGGGAGTCCGTGCTGTTGGGCCCTTGCTTGTCCTATCACTTTGCTCCTTTTCCTCTGTGACAGCCAGTGACAGGATGACTGACTTCAACTGGCTGAGTTATTTCCTTCTACTTGGTTGTTTAATGCCATTTCTACTGAGGATGCTCCGTTGATGTTAACACAAAATAAAACAAAACCTTCCTACCTACTGGCCACTCCCATAGGTCCAGATACCTGCTTCTAGCCCAGATCTCATTGTGTCCAATCTTCTAATCTTTGTCCTTAAGGGCTCTGACAGAAAACCATTCATTCCAGGCCATGATTCCTAATTTAGTCTATCCTTACGCCACTTGTTTTTCCAATGAAGAGAATGACCAGATGTACTGCCTAAAGCTCTATCAGGAAGATTTCCCCTTACATCTGTCTTTGCAGACCACCCCCAATTGGGCTTTAATGCAGCTTGCATTCATTTTAGCTTTTAACATTTTGGGTAGTTGGCACAACACACAGAAACTACTTGGTAGTGCCTTTTGTAGGAATCTCTCTGGCGTCGTGCACGTTTAGGCACATGTCCATGTGTGTTTGCTGGTGTGTTTGCCGGTTCCTGGGTGAATGAGCACATGACACCCGTTGATAGGATACGCTCGATGTTCACTGTCACATCCCTTGTAAGTGTCCTCTTCCCTTGTTCTTCCTTTATGAACAGATAGTTGTACTGACTTACCATACATCCCACATGCTTCCTGGGACGTATATGGTTACAACCAGCCAACAAAAAAGGAAGTATATGAAATTGGGACTGTGCTTAGATACCGCTGCCATCTTGGCTATAAACCTGCTGTAGACAAGCCTACGACTGTGTCTTGTCAGGGGAATTTGGAATGGTCTCCATACGTAGCATGCGAGGGTGAGTTTCTGTTTTATAAACCTTTTGTATATTAAATGTCCACCATGTGCTAGGATTTTCTACCTTAAATGAATATAATTTATCCCTCAAGATGAATTTAGAATGTTATAAACTGAACAGAACTATTATTGTCAGAAGGGGCTGTGAAGATCTGGGAGTTTAAGGAGCTGGGAAATTGTCATCTTACCCTGTCCTAGTTCACAATCAAATGAGACATAGATAGACAAGTTAAGCATTATGTGATAGTATTAGCTTCATTACTGGTAAGGGTAGAATGGAGACTATAGCTCAGCATTGCCAGGGTCAGAACCTCAACACAAGCCCTTTTCTCCCCAGTGTAGCCTTTAGTGTGTTTGGTAGATGGGAAGTCTGAAACCCATATGAACTCAACCAGCTGCAAGGTGCCTCGTGCCTCGTGTGTCTTGATTCATGGGTCTGCACACTGAAAGAACTGGGTCTTGTGACCTGCTTCTAGAAGCCAGATCCTGACCCCTGACCCAGAATTCTTGCCTCAGTAGGACAGAAAGGAGACTTTCCCTGGTCTCACTAGTAGAAGATGGCTCTTCTCTCTTTGGCGAGCATGAGTGAGGGGCTGAGAGACAGAGGGGATGTCAGTTTATGGGCTTCAGTGGAATTGACCACAGAGGGAGAAAAGGCTTCCTTCTACACATCTGTCAGAATCTTGACATTTTAGAGGTGAAGACACTGTGGTCCAGAATATAGGGAAATTCATTCTCCAGATCAGAATTTGAAAAATGTGTGAAATGCACACATAATGAAAAATGGTGGTTTAGATCAGCCTGTTGAAAGGTAACATGTCACATTAGAACTTAAAAGTTTAACTGCAGTTATTCAGACTCATTTTGGGGACATGAAAGGTTTTAACAAAATTACTGACTTAAAATATAATATTTAGCAAAAACAACTGCCATCACTAAAATAACAGAATAGTAGTAGGTGCAAGCCTTTGAAGATCCTCTTTAATGAATAAAATACAATGACATGTAATTAATAGACTAATTTTTTCTATGCAGATCTATGTTTATTTATATATGTTTAAAAATCTATTTTAATTATGTTTATTTTACTCATTACTTTTATTTAATTGTTTAATAAAGGATTCTTTAAAACCATTAAAAAAGCAGAAGTGAAGTGGTATTTACCCCAGTTATCTTAAAATCTGATTAATTATGAATCTGGACTCAAGACTTAAATGTTTAAGTGTTTTCTACAATGTAAAGCATTACATAAATACTGTTAAAATTTAGGAACTATATGAATGTTGGATATTTTTATTATAATTTGTAAACAAATGAATGCTGACAGCGTTTGAATATGCCCCAAAGAACCCATTATAGTGCTGGACAAGCACCTGATATAGAAATAGAGCATTTTATTCAGTTCTGAGGCTTTATCTTACATAAAACATTATCAAATTCTATCTGAAAGTATTTCTACTAGTGAATAAAAAAACCTATATCTCTATTTCAGCTCTTATTGCATTAAACATGAAAAAACTTGAATAACTGTCTCTCTTAAATGTGGTATCAACTACAAGAAAATCCTGGCCATAAGCGATAATTTAAACTTATTTCTATGCATTAGCTGTCAGGTGGATACACATTTTTTAGAATATGATGTGACTGAGGAGATCCGAGTTAATAGAGAGCTTAACGCTAATATAACCCTAATTGAAACCATAAGGAAATGGATGTCATTTGTCATTGTTTTTGAATAATTTTGAAAATTTACATTTTCTTGCAGGTTTAATCCAACCTCTCTTTTCCAAGGCTCCTAATGAAAATACTGAGGTGGGGGGAAATGCCCGGGTTGGAGTCCTTTAGCCCATCAGGGACGGGAGGGCAGATGCAGCGTCTTGGAGACCCTTTCCTGCTTCTGCCCTCTCTCTGCAGCGATGCCATCTCTAGAGGTGGAAATGAGATGATTCGCCACAGGGGCCTCCTCATGGTGATTTTACTAACCATTAGCCTCATTTTTTTATTTTTTTAGAGACATGTTGCCCAGTACCACACCTGAAGAATGGCAAAATCACTTTATCTAGGAAGAGTGGCTCCAATCATAGCTGTGACTATTTCTACAGAGATGTGGTTTCATACACATGTTATGAGAAATACGAGTTTGAAGCTAACTGCCGGGAGGATGGCACGTGGAATCCCAAAACACCAACATGTGATGAGAGTAAGAGCTTTGTAATTGTGTTATTTTATAAGTTTCTTCATATCAAAGGGATGGGTTATTAACGGAGGTTTCGAATTAGGTAAAAAAAATTGTATACCCTGCATGAGTTTGCAGTGGATAAATTCGTTGATAGGCGTGGCCCCCCTGGTCTAGCTGTCTTTTTTCCCACATTGCTTGTTCCCATTCTCTCGACCTGACTGTCTCTTTTTCTTTTCTGAATCAGTGAAAATAGCTCACACCTAATAAATAGATCAGCGAGACTTTTCAATTATTGCCTTCCGTTTCTTGGTGTTTATTCTCTTTTTTTTCTCTCCCTTTTGGTCCATGCCTTCACCTGCAGTGTAAGACCCTCCAAAATGCCCTGGAACCTGTCTTTCTGAACTTGCTTCCTTTCTACTGCTGCCCCTAAGCCCTCCTTCAGACTGTCCCCCAGGGCGAGATGCCTACCTCACCCTCACCAAGAGCACCTGTGTGCTAAGCACAGTCCTCGCTTCGCCCATTGTGTTTCCAGAGCTCTACCTATTAACGATCAGAAGCAATCACTCCCACTAGGAATAGTGATTTCTCTTCTTGCTCTGTGGGTAAGAAGCCCGCAGGAGCCCCGAGTGGCCAGGCACTAGATGCAGCTTAGAAATCAGTGGGTATCTTCTTAAACTTCTCTGGTAGAAGTGTCCCCTCTTCACCAACCAGGATCTTTCAATCTACAGATCCCAGAGGCTCAGGGATGTGAAACACAATTTCTCCACGTGGGTCACTTAGCGTGTTGGTAAATCATCTTATCATCTTACTCATGCGTTCGTCTCTTGGTTCCTGGCCCCATGCATTTTATTTTATTTTACTGGGGACTCACTACCATATAAAGGTGGACCTTCGATTTAAAGTGAATACTGCATCCTAGAAGGTATTTTGAAGAACTATTGTGGAGTCCCATCGTTGTTAAGTATTGCCTTTCAACTGGCACTTCAGCTGCACCTTTAACAGGCCATGCCAATGTTCTCACGGGTCTGTGGGTGCTGGCTGATGCAGTCTGTGATATGAGCAGTGCATTCCGTGGCCGTGCTCCCAGCACCACACCTTTTTTGCTGTGAATGAGTCTTGTAGGTGCATGTTGCAGGATCTTATGTCAATTGGTTAGGCTCTCAGATCCTTCAGATAACAGTGTTGACTGAGTCCCAAAGACAGGAAGGGTACGCCCGTGTCTGGAAGAGTTGTCTATTTCTGTCAGAGTAAATAGCTGTCCCTTCTAGGTGGAAGGATGTCCAATATGGTCAACCTGCTACCAGGTGGCTTTTTAGTTGTCTCAAGGGATGTGCTCAGACTAGGGCCTTAGCATTATTGAGGTTGGAGGTTCAGAGACAGCCTGGTAGGTGGGAGTCCGTGCTGTTGGGCCCTTGCTTGTCCTATCACTTTGCTCCTTTTCCTCTGTGACAGCCAGTGACAGGATGACTGACTTCAACTGGCTGAGTTATTTCCTTCTACTTGGTTGTTTAATGCCATTTCTACTGAGGATGCTCCGTTGATGTTAACACAAAATAAAACAAAACCTTCCTACCTACTGGCCACTCCCATAGGTCCAGATACCTGCTTCTAGCCCAGATCTCATTGTGTCCAATCTTCTAATCTTTGTCCTTAAGGGCTCTGACAGAAAACCATTCATTCCAGGCCATGATTCCTAATTTAGTCTATCCTTACGCCACTTGTTTTTCCAATGAAGAGAATGACCAGATGTACTGCCTAAAGCTCTATCAGGAAGATTTCCCCTTACATCTGTCTTTGCAGACCACCCCCAATTGGGCTTTAATGCAGCTTGCATTCATTTTAGCTTGCAGACAAAAATACACATCTGTGAACCAGGCTCACACTTTCCTCTCTGCAGCTCTCTGTTGGTTGGTAGTAATGGATACCGCATATAACCATGAGCGTGAGCTAATGCAGAGGCATTTGTGCAACTGTGATTAGGGCACAAAGACCTGGGATCCCTGTTTGTGCAGTTTCTTGTGCCACCTGGTCCTGCTCATGCTCAATGCCAGATGTACCACTTTTATTTTATCATGCATCATGGCCTGAATGGCCTTATAATTTGACGGGTCTGAATAGATCGAGCTCATGATGAGTGATTCTGTCACATAGTCACTTCATGACCCAATGTCAGGAGCTGTTTTTTTATCAGGACCAAGGAACATGCCAAGAGTTATATTTCAAGAAGCACATCATTCTCTGTAGCAGTGCATTCATCCTTGCTTCAGGATCTTAAGGGTCTATGATGTGATTGTCCCAGTGGCATCTGCATATTTTACTACTTTAGCCACCTTCAGGGCACTAGATTCTGCAGAGTCCTGAGGTCCAAGCAACAGGGATGATTTCACAGCAGACTAGACCTACTGCCAAGGCCTTTGCCAACATGGGTCCTATTCAAGCTCAGCTGTCTTTGGTTGGAATAGTGTTCCCAAATATGGAGTATGCTGTCTTTAGAATCTGGAAAGTTCTACTAGGCATTTTGTTTCCTTTTTTGTGGGGTGATGTGCGATTTTCAAAAATTTGATTTTAGTTTGAATGGGATAGCCTAGGAAGCCTTAAACTCTGGTCCTCTAAAAGTTACGCTGATGTGGCAGACCCCAGAATCTTTACGTTCAGTATTCTGAAGCCCTCATCATGGGAATGGGAAAAACCCAGTCTTTCCTCTCCCTCTTGTGTTATTCCGCCATCTGTCTCTTTTACTACTCACACAGAACTTCCATGACACTTCTGGTGAGCAGAAGTGTGCAGATTTTTCCCCACACCAAGGAATTCTCTACAACTCCTCCTGGGTGTCCTATAATTTCATTTTTTCTGACACGATCTACCTGGAGATAGTGTCAGATCTCATAGGCACCCCCACTTCAGATGTCAATTGCAAGTAGGAGGTCTGCAGGTTACCCCCAACTTTGGTCTGACTTGGCTACAAATTGAAGATTCCTTAACTCCTTTCTCAGGTTCTATTTATTTGCTAGTGGCTCACAGAACTCAGGGAAACACTTACTTGCACTTACCAGTTTATTCAAGGATATGACAAAGGATACAATGAACAGTCAGATGAAGAGATACATAGGGTGAGGTCTGGGAGGGTCCAGAGGGTGGGAGCCCCTGTTCCTGTGGGGTTGGGGTGCATCATCCTCCAGGTACAAGGACGTGTTCATCTGCCTAGAAGCTCTCTGAAGTCTGGACTACCGGGATTTCATGGAGGCTTCCTCATGTAGGAATGTCAGTTATTAACTTCATTCCAGCCCCTTTCCCCTCTTGGGAGAATGAGAGTTGGTGCTGAAAATTGCAAGCTTCTATCATGGCTTGGCCTTTCTGGTGACTAGTCCCCATACTGAAGCCATCCAGGAACCCACCCAGAGCTGCCTCAATAGAACAAAAGATGCTCCTAATGCCCTTAGCCCTTAGGAATTTACTAGAGTTTTAGGAGCTCTATGCCAGGAACTGGGGCAGAGACGAATAGATATATAGAGGTAGATAGATAGATAGATAAATAGATAGATAGATAGATAGATAGATAGATAGATAGATAGATAGATAGATAGATAGATAGATAGATAGATAATGTGTATTTTTTTCTCTCTCTCATCATGCTAGTTTCTTCTTGCATATTCAGTAGAATTAACATGATATCATTGATGTATCAGGATCAATATGATATCTTTAGATGTCCAGATTGTCATACTATCATCAGACTATTATGATAGGGGAAGGTGAGTTACCATAGGCCACAGCTAAAACTGCCGATGTATGGTCTTGACCCTTTCATGTCTACACAAACTGTTTCTGAGCCTCTCTTTGGATAGGATAGAAGAGAAGGCTTCTGCTAAATCAGTGACCTCATTTATCTGAAGACAGTCTGTGCTCGCAAAGATACCTTTGACTACAGTAGGGGCTAATATTGTGGAGTTTCCAATAGTCTACTCTAATTCTCCACACCCCTCAGTATATATTTTTAAACTTTACTTTTTTGCTTCAAAGAGGAGGGATGTGGGCAGTGTAAATGGCTTCTACTCGGGCTTCTGGAATATGATAGTTCTTATGCACAGGCCAAGGGCCCAATGTGCAGTTGGGCCAATTTCTTTTAAACCCATTATACTTTCAGAGACAATGGAAGTAACCACCAAGTGGTCTAGTCAAGGGACGTGATGGCTTCCCAGCCTGAGCCTTACAGCAGGGCAGTACAGGCCTCGGGTTTGGCTGAGTGTCCTTCAGGCAGAGAAGATGGAGGGATGGAAGGAAGCCTCCTGCATACCACACAGATTCTGGGATGCGCTCTTTCCTACATGCTCCAAGCTCAAGCTCTCTCACTTTTGTCTCCCCATCAAGATTGTGATTTTCCTCCTATCATTGCCCATGGACGTCATAAACGAGTTCAAACATACAGCTTATTCAAAACTGAGGTTGCGTATGAATGTGACAGAGGGTACACTCTGGTTGGACCGGCCAGACTCTCCTGCAGTGCCTCACACTGGTCTCCTGAAGCCCCTCAGTGTAAAGGTAACTCCAGCTCCCTTGGCAGCCATGGCTACGTGGGTGGAAATGTCATGAAAGGACTGAGAGTAAAGTTTGTTCCCTGCCAGAGGCGGTACAGAAATATTTCATCTGATTTGACTTAAGTAATGACCACATTCACACTATATTCAGAAAGCGCAAAGGGCACCCAGAGACATTAATCTCCCCTACTTCTTTCTCCGAGTCTCAAAATCCAGCCTTCTGGAGGCAGCCCCCATTCCCATTTCCCTGTGTATGGCCAGAAATATTCTACAGACGGTACATTTTCTCGGAGGGTGTAGCCCTGGCCTGAAGCATGTCTTCCTGGGAACTGGCTCCAGCCTGCATGTGGGCTCTCATGGGCTAATCCCAAGCAGGATATAAGTGGTATTTCCATCAGAGCTTCACGCAAGGCACTGCCCACTCATGAGGGAGCATGTGGTGGGGGCTCCTAGTGTGCCAACCTGCTGTGGGGCAGGGGGATCCATATCGGGTCAGAGTTTTACATGAACACAGGCTGACTCTCAGTTTGCCGGCAACAACTGCAGGGATTGTTTGCCTCCACTGCGTCCACTGCCCCCAGGAGGGTGACAGGCGGGAGGGGGAACTCCATAGCTCGCATCCTGCAGGATCAGGGTGCAGGCATGACTGCTCCGAGAGCTGAGAGCCTGGGGTCACATGCCTTATTTCTCTGTTCTTTCATGTTATTAAAGAATATTAGGACCTTGCACAAGTTTGTTAACCTGTTTGTATCTTAACTTTGTCCTAGATGAAATGGGATAATAACAGTCTTCACTCACAGACTGAGACTTACCTGTGATCGTCAGATAAGATGCTTAGCCTGAGTCTGACATGTAGCCAATGCTCAGTGAGAATGTTAACTAATGTTCTTGTTGTCAAACTGAGTGAAGAATGAAATAATTAGCAGCACCTACCGTAGCTCATCCTTGTAATCCTGGCCTGTTACCATGTCCTTCCCTGATGTTTCCAGATTGCTTAAAACTGTGTTTCCATTGCAGCTGTGTGTGTGAAGCCAGAAATAGCCAATGGAAGGCTGACTGTGATTAAGAATCAATATTCTGAACCTGACACCGTCACCGTGCAGTGTAACTCTGGCTATGGTTTGGTTGGATCCCCAAACATCACTTGCTCAGAGAGCAGAACCTGGTACCCCGAGGTGCCCAGGTGTGAGTGGGTAAGTGGCACAGCCCAAGGAGGTCCCTGTGCTGACCGTCCCTGAGCGTGGTGCCTCCCAGAGCTGCCCTGGCCTGCCACGGTGCGATGTGACTTGTCAGGAGTCGTTCCTGAGGCCTTCAGAGGCACGCTCTGGTTTTGTCTTGAAGCGCTCTGGTCTGTCAGGGTGGGAAATGTTCCCAGGCTCTCTTGAGAACAGGAAAACCTAAGCCCGTAAGGGGGGGGTGCCTCAGCCCTGGGAACACTGGCTGCTAACTTTCCCTTTCCTAGACTATATAACGTACTGTGTGCCGTTCCTGGATGGTGCACAGAAACGGCCTCTGTCCCCACAGAAGTCTTCCAGAAGCTGCGGCAGGGCAGTTCTGTGTTCCTCTGGGGAAGACTATGGGGGTCCGTGGTGTTCCTGGTTTCCTGCCCCGCCACCTGCCCTGGGGTTGGTCCTCGTCCCGATCCTGTAGTCTGTTATCGCCAGGATGCACCGCCACCCCCTTCACAATGTGGAGAGAAGCCTCTCAACCACCCTCACCACCTGTGTCTCTCGTAGGTGTACCCAGAAGGCTGTGAGCAGGTGCTTGTTGGCAGAGCTCTCATGCAGTGTCTCCCAAACCCGGAGGATGTGAAATTGGCCCTGGAGGTGTATAAACTGTCTTTGGAGGTTGAACTCCTGGAACGGCATAGAGACAACACCAAGAGATCCACTCCCTAGGCTCCACGCGGAAGATTTTCCCCAAAGAGGAGGCAGAAGGTGCCCTCCTGCCTTCCATGCACGATGCGTCACGTCAGTTTGATGACTCTGTTATTCCTTTTGCACCATCATTCACAGTAATAACTATCTAGAAAGGATGACTTGTTAATGGTTAGTACTTTGAGATTGTGTAATTACTGATTATTTTTTGTCTCATGTTTTTGCTTTTCTGGACATAAAGTGCACATTTTTTCCATTAAAAATTTACATATCAAACTATCTTGTCTCTGTGTTCATTAGGACTCTGTGGAACAAGGACCCTAAACCCCATTACGCAAAGGTAACCCACTTATGTTACTGTAGGGACCTTGGGAAGAGGGCTCTGGTTCCTTGCAGCACATGTCCCCCGATCGCCTGTCCTCCACGGCCCCACTTGTGCAGCTCACTCCGGTCACAGCATTTAGATTCAGTGTCGTCGCACCCCAAGTCTTGTCCATTCTTCACCATTTGAAAGGCGTCGAGCCCTTTTCCAGGCCCCCATGCTCTTGGCCTCTGTCTCACTAAGGCTACCTCTCAATTTTGCCTGAATTGAAGGGAATTTATGTTTGTGTCTGACCTTATCCCACCCACAGAGAGCAAACCCTGAAGGACCCATGAACATGCAGCCCCCGTGGCAACCCCCTGTGTGTTCCCAAGCCCTCCGTCGGCTTTGGTTCCCATTTTCCTTAACAGAAAAGCAAACTGGCTTGAGCAACTATCCCACCCATTGGGAGAGCCCGCATCCACCACTGCCTCTCTCGGGGTGCTCCGGAGGGTCTATCTTTTCACTCACCACTCCCACCAACTTTGCTCCCTCTGAAATCTCACTCCTGCCTCAGCTCCTCCCGCCGTCTCTCCAGTTTTTGTGCACAGACCTCTATAGGGAATATTGGCCTTTTTTGTTTTATTTTCCCAGACACACTGCAATCAGGCACTGCTGTGCTGCAGGATGTCACTGAACTTTCCATATAACATGGGCTTTAAAGTTTTAGGAAAACCTACTCACCACGGAAGGCATCATCTGTCTATGGTCTTTGAAGCCATTACCGGTTCCCGCTCCTAGGAATTCCTTTTGGTTGATGCTTATTCTGGTTTCTCAGGAACAAGGATTTGTGGGTAACTAGTTTCCATGGGAGGTGGCCTCAGAGAGCAGTGTGAGTAAATGAGTCATAAGAAGGGGAAGAAAGAGCAGAGTGAAGAGGGGGCATTGATGAGGAGGTCATTGCCATTGCTAATAGAAACTCAATCGTGCTGACCACCCTCTAAAGCATGTGGAACACAGTTCTGAGTTATCCTTCCAAGGATGAGGACCTCAGGTATTCACCCACCAATTTCCTCCTTGTGCTGGTGAAGGCTTGCTCCAGGAGTATGACTTCCAAGTACAACTGACTCTTAGTGCGGGTGAGCTGAGAAGGTTCCTGAGGACGGGATCACCACCAGGCAGACACACGGTGACACCATGGGGCTGCTTGCAGTCACCTGCAGGGTAGGGGTACGGGCAGAGCGCAGCTGACCTCTTCCACAGCCGCCTTCTCTCCATGGCTCTCTGGTCACATCTGTTCGAGTCTGTCACGCTTTCCCGACCCACACCTCTCATTTCCCTTTATCAGAATCCTCCGTAGTGCGTTTAGCCATGTCACTGCCAACTAGCGGCAAGCCCTGGGAACAAGAATGTTTTACTGACACAGAGAAGATGGTTTGGATATTGGGATGGGTTGAGAAATAATAATTTTTCCCATATTCATAAATGAAATTAGGATTCCTATGATCTCAAATGACCTTCCACACCATTTTACTAGCGGATTAGAATTGAATAGCTAAGTAGGCTTATATTTTCATATTATGAATGTGTTCATATGACGAATTATCTACCTCAACCATCGTTCATCTGTACAGGAGAAATAGTCGAAGGTTTTAAATGCCCATCCTTCATGTTTCCTTTCTTGATATTCCTTATGAGTTCATAAGAGCAGTGCAGAGACTTATTTTCACACTGATACAAATTTTCCTCCATTTTTTCTTCTTTTATTTAAATATTTTAAAAATTATCTGAAAGAAATGCATGCATATCCAAACAAATATTGAAACAATAAATGTGGCTATAAATAGCTTGACTCCATTTCCCTCTTCTTCCCTTTTTTAAATTTAAATTTTAACTTTTGTACATAATTCTATAAATTATAAACCATATTACAAGTGCAACTATTTCTTGAACTATCAACTTTACCTTTAAAATTAATTTAAGTATATGAATGTTTAACAAAGTGGTGTACTAACTGGACTGACACAATTACTTTTCCCTAGTCCCAAAGAACTGCTGTCTCTTGCAGCAATATTTTCTGGTATTTATCAGCATTTTTAGATAGTTTATTTTTCCTACTTTTTTCATGAATGATCCATTTATTGATTACAAAGATTCAATCTTCTAATTTAATTATTTGATTTTCCTCCCTTGTTCTTCCAACAGTTATTGCACAATTTTAGGTAAATCAATGACTGTGACATATCATACCTCATTGAACCACTGAATGAACCAGCTGAACCACTGAACCAGTGTTCTGTGAGCATGTCTCCTTTCTTTCCAACTTCCTTTTCTTTTATTCTGCTGTTGACAGTGCCCTTTTTAGTGGTATTGTTTGCTTGCTTGCTTATTTTCTGTATTTCTATTTCCATTTCATCCTAAACGCTCCAAGAGGTTTTTCAGTGTACCAAAATTGTTCCAAGGTTTAGAAACATCACATGCTTATCAAATCCCCTCTCTGCCCCTAGACCTTTCCCCCAAGCCTTCCATTCTCCCACGTGGTCTTAGTTTGGGTCCCACCAGAAGCAGACCCTGAAACAAAAATTAACGTGTAAGTAGTTTGTTTGGGAGGTGCAGGAGACACCAGGAGGTGAGTAGGGCAGTGAGGCAGGGAAGGGGGGGAAACCAAGAAGGGATGTTACCAAGTGAGTTAGGGTGACTGGAGCCCAGTCCCAGGGGAAACTGGTAAAGAGGTTAAACTCACACCTCAAAGAACTCACCCTAAGGCAAGGGACTAGGTTATTGATATAACGTCCATCAATTGCTAGCTGAGATCTGCTTCTGCAAGGTGTTAAATTACCTCCCTTCTGCTCAGTGAAAATCAGAGTAGCTTTAAATGGTTTTGGATAAAGTCTGGGCAAAAGCAAGCAGAACTGGCAGCTGGAAGTTGTCCAAACTGTGCTGAAGTGGTAGGGCCCGAGGGATATTGACAGCACAGTTGGACGGTGTCTGCTACACACTTTAACATGCAGTGGATGCTCTCACATCTGCAGACTCACTTTGGTTACTTTCTCTGGTTCTTCGATCCATGCTTTTCTCTTTCTTGATTTTTATGTCGCTAGAGCCCATCATTTAGGAACTACCTGAGAAATGATGCATAGGAAGTAAAATTTTGAGTCTTAGAATATGTGAAACTATCTTCATTTTCACACTTGATTGGTAGTTCGGCTGGGTATAGAAGACTGGCTTAAAAATATTTTTCCCTCTCAATTTAAAGCACGTCTCCATTATCTTACACTTGCAATGTAGCTTCTGAGAAGTCAGAGCACATCCTGACTTCTGACCTGATTTTTCTCCCCACTCTGGAAGCTTTTCAGTATATACTTGTTACCCACGACGTTCTAGAATACCATGTTGATGTACTTTGCTGTATTTTATCTTAGCATTCATTATGCCAGTTCTTGATGAGCCCTTTTAATCTATAAACTCATGTTCTTCTTTTCTGAGAAATTTTCAAATATAATTTCTTCAGCAATGTTTCTTCACTGTTTTCTCTTTATGGAAATCCGATTAACCTGATATTGGATCTCCTCACTGACCATCTACTTTTGTTATGTTTTTCTGACTTCATTCTTACTCTCAACCCTCCACACACTTTTTGGGAAATTTCCTTGGTTTTATAATCCAGTACTTTTGTTGAGTTTTTCAATTTCTTTTGAGAATATTTTATAATATTTTCCAAATGGTTTTTATTCTTTTCTTCTCCATTAAAAAATACAGTATCTGGTGTAACTCTGAGGGGAAAATATGTTCCCAGCCCAGGACAAATAACCTTTGGAGCCAAAATTAGTTAAAGGGAGAAAGAAAATGGGAGAAACCTGTTTATTGCTTACAAGCAGATGCCTGCTTCTGCTCACCAGTGGCTCTCATGACCCAGCTGCCAAAGGACCCCACCACACCTCTCCCGTCCCAGTGTGCACTCGCTCCCGCCCACCTATCGACATGGAGTTAGATTACTTCTCTCCACCCCTTGGAAACAGCTATTGACATGGAGATGCACTAAGGTCAGGAGAGAGATTTTGGAAATACTGCAGTTTTACGCACTCTTTGTCTTTCTACCTAGATCCATTCGTGTCTCCCTGGAGCTATTTGTAATAGAGAAGTGCTATTCTGCAACTTAGTTTATAATCATTGGTCAATTGTTCTTTTTTAAGAGTGTGGCTTGAATAATCTCATTTGAAGTTCTGTGCATCTGAATGAGTTTTGCTGACAGTAGGTTTGCTTGCAACAAAAAGGGACAGTGGGGCATTTTTAAATAAATTGTGGTCCTATCAGAGACTGTTAATTGTTTTCCTATATTAATCTCCCCTGTTTATTTTAAGGAAGAGAATCATTTCCACCATTTTAAATATCAGCTGGGCACATGGCTCCTCAGCTAGAGCCTCCTTTGAAGCAAGCTCTCAATGGGTGTAACTTCCTGGTTGCTTTGGTAGAAAGAAACTTCTTGCCCTCCGTTTCCTCTTTCCTCATGCTAAGGGCTGAAATGTTGACAGGGTGCTGGTGAGCCATTTCCACCAGGTTAAGGAGGACAGCACCCAGGTGCTGTTGAAGCTACTGTTCTAAGTGCCCTTATGCCTCTTCTTTAATGAAAGAAAAATGAAGTTCTACAGGGTTTGAGTCACTGAGTTTTTAGGTGTCCTATCTCCTCAGAAGTATGGGGTGGGGAATCTCCAAATACCAGTGTTTATTAATGTTTTCTTTGTCACTGTCCAGTTTCTCCAAAGGAAGATGCTCCAGTCTGCTCCCTGCTTGTTCACAACTTCAGTTCCTGCTATGTCAAATGAGGAGATGACTGCTTCTATGCTCTCTTTGAGTTACGTTTTCTTCCTAGACCCCTTGCCTATTTCCACCACCACATGACTTTTGTACTATTAACGTGGAGGAAACTTTAATTCTTTCCTGAAATAATTGCTCCCATCCCTAGAGGGCAAAGCACTTA